AAAATATATATNTTTTTTTTTAAGATCGATTAGAATATGAATTATCTGAAATATAATATTTTGAACTTTTCCAAAATAAGCCGATTAATTTGTTCCATAAAATTAAATGATAAATTTGAATTAGAAAGGTTATGAAAGGAACAGTGAATTAAAAATGATCGAAAATCGGAAATTATAATAAACAACAAATATGCTGTCAGTTATATCATTGCTTTTAGTTTACTTACTCATAGGATCAAATAAATGAGCATTTCATTGTGACAGATCAAAAATGGGATTGAATGAAAGATGGGACAAAATGTGAGGTCATACTTTTTTATTCAATGCATAATACAACTTCTTATCATTGTTACTACTACACTATTCAACATTGAGTAATGTTTATTTTTTAGAACAATAATTGAAGAAAAAAAAAGCCATCTATTAAGATGTTAAAATAGTTGGGAATGCTTAAATATTAGAGAAATATTGATTGAATTTTTGGTAATAAAATAAAAAACGAAAATGATGGGAAAAATTGATTAGATCAAAGATCAATGATGTAATCATTCGAATTTGTCGATAATTTTCTTCGAGAAATACTGTGAAAAAATCAATGCAAAAGAACAAAAAAAAGAGAAATTTGCATAAATATCTAAATTTGTAGATTTGAACTCTGGAAGCTATAGTTAAATCATATTTTCATAATTAATAGCTCTATGACATGCCAACACATTTATTTATTCATAACAATTCTAAAACTCATTGCAATTATCTGATTTTGGCCTATTGAGCTTTTTAATTGGTACGGAATTCTGATTTCTCTTTCCTTCTCCCTTTCTTCTTCATTCATTCATCCATTAAATTATAGCTTGGATATGGTTTTTATTGAATCTTATTTGAAAACTAACTTTCTCACTAAGAAAGTTTTACTTATTATCCTATACTTTTGCTTATTTCCTTTTTCCTCATTTTTTTTTTTACCTGAAAGAAACTTCTAGCATATTTTCATTTATTCATGCTAAATTTAATTCATGCAACCAAAATAAGCAATAAATTATTGTTTAAAATAGTTTGATAAAATGATGAAAAATAGTGACAATTTCTTGAAATAAATTTTATGAAAATTTATGGAAAACAGTTTTTCTCAAAATAAATTTCTTCATGGAAGACAATTGTGCCTAATGATGTTACATTGAACGATAAACTCAGAGAATATGATAAGTGCATTTTAAGTGAAAGCATATAATGGAAAGTATTATCAATGATGCATATATTCTGAATAAATGGAAAAGCATTATGTGAAATGAAATAAATGCATTTTCAATAAACCAATTAATATTTTGTTTCTAAATAAAATGAGTGGAATAGTCTGATATCATTTATTTCTTTCCATTATCTATACCATATATCAAATTATTTTAATGATAAAAATTTTTCACCTAAATCATTTATTGATAACGTTCGCTTTTCACATATACATATATGTATTTGAATTGTTGAAATTTTAAATATCGTTGATAAATAGGAGAGAAAACTTAATTTGTTCTTTTAAAAAAATTACACAATTAATGGCATTTCCGACAATAAATCATATGATTATTTTTAAACGAAAGAAAGCTATGATAATACGCTTTAAAAATTATTTTCAAAAATGGAATTTTGTTGCCAAAGTCTTTTTTTTTTTGACATTTTCGGTCAATATCTATATGTTAATGTGCTGTATAAGCAACTCAACGATATAACACTTATACTGAAACTTAGAAATGAAAAAAAGGACATTAAATTGAAGGTTATCATAGTCCTAGCAATATCAATACTAAATGTTATCCTGTGAAATATTGTGGAGAACATTTTAATGATAAAAGATCATAGATGAAAATTTTCCATAAAATTAAATTGTGCAATAAACAAATGTTGCTTATAATATCATTATTAGTTTCGGAATGATACCAAAAAACCAAAGTAGTTACTTAAATTTTTTTTTAAATTTTAGATGCTTAACTTTCAATTTTCTTTTGTTTCTTTCATTTATTCGTTTTTTTCTTTATTTTTTAAAGAAGTTATGATTAATATTTGTGGCTTTCCTCAACAAGTTGATTTTTGACACTAAAAAATTGAGAGTTAAAAATTGTTCAACTAGTTTAATTTATTATCTTTCATAAATGAACTTATTATTGCATATATCGGGATACAGTCTTATTATCAGGATGCAATCTTATTTTATTGTATATGTCGGGATACAGTCTTATTTTCCATTTATGATGAAGATTTTCAAATTTATTATTTCCATTATTTCATTTCTATAGAGTTTATCAGCAGCCGTTTCATCAATAAATAGATCGTATCGGATGTGATACAAGGTACCGTAGAATTCAAGGAAATGTTACTGTGCCAAGTACAGTTATGTTATATTTGAAAGCATAATTGTAAAACGCATCTTAAATGATTTCAATCAGCAAACTGTTGATTGATAAATTAAAAAGCTTGTCATTGATAAAAACAGCTATGACTGATGATGATGATAGTGGCAAAATACAGACAAAACATCTATCTTATCCACCTACAGTGATCATTAATCATTGCCTCAAATAGACTAATCAGATAACTCAAATAGACTAATTTATCCTATCAATTGATATGAGCTGTTATTTC